CAACACGGTCAGGTGGGCGAACTGGTGAAAACCTCATCCTCTGATCCTCAAGGCCAAGGCAACACATGCTCTTGAAGCAGAGCTGGTAAACAACTCTGACACAGCCTTTAGTAACTCAAATCAGAAGGAAAGTAAAGATCTCTAGCAGGGAAGAGCAGCTGGAGGCCAGGACTCCAAATGGTCCCAACATCTACCCATCTTAAATTAGCCCATCTACCTTTTGCCTTTGGGCTTTTACCTTTCTCTATTTTTTTTTTTTTTTTTGGTTCTTTTCGAGACAGGGTTTCTCTGTAGCTTTGGTGCCTGTCCCGGAACTAGCTCTTGTAGACCAGGCTGGTCTCGAACTCACAGAGATCTGCCTGCCTCTGCCTCCCGAATGCTGGGATTAAAGGCGTGTGCCACCACCGCCCGGCAGGACACCTTTCTCTATTTTTATATATCTTTTCTTTTCTTTTTTTTTTTTTTTGGTTTTTCGAGACTATATATCTTTTCTTTACTTCTTTCTCCGTGGCTTCCTGTGTAACTGGTGACTGGCCCCTGGAGTCTTCCTCTCCTTTCTCACTGCCTGCCAACCCTGCCTATCTTTTCTCCTGCCTTGCTACCAGCTGTTCAGCTCTTTATTAGACAATCAGGTGTTTTAGACAGGCAAAGTAACACAGCTTCACAGAGTTAAACAAATGCAGCTCTGCAGAAACTTATACAGCTATTAACAGTTCAGGTAACACTAAACCCAGAAACAGCACATCCAAACCTGCTTGTGTCTGAGGATAGAAAATGTGTCACATTGTTAAAGAAAATACAAGGTTCTCCGGGTTCCTCAAAAAGGTTTAGCAAGCCGGGTGATGGTGGCGCACGCCTTTAATCCCAGCACTCGGGAGGCGGAGGCAGGCGGATCTCTGTGAGTTTGAGACCAGCCTGTTCTACCGAGCTAGTTCCAGGACAGGCTCCAAAGCCACAGAGAAACCCTGTCTCGAAAAACCAAAAAAAAAAAAAAAAAAAAAAAAAAAAGGTTTAGCAATAGCCCTATTGTGTTGGGGACTCCGAATTTTAATTCTGGGAGACATTTCTGGGAGGTGAAGGTGGGAAAGGAGCCCGAGTGGGTGATTGGTATCTGCCAAGCCAATCTGTCCCCTGGGGCAAGGCAGTCCTCCTCTGCCCCTCAGGGATGCTGGAGGATCTTCTGGCAGGGCGACTGCTTTGATGTCTCAGGAGCTGCTGACCCAAACTCTCAGCTGAAGGCCACAACACCCAGAGTCATTGGCGTTTTCCTGGACTGTGAGCTGGGAGAGGTCTCCTTCTATAGCATGCCTGAGAAATCTCACATCTATACTTTAAGGGACAATTTCACTGAGCTGTTTTGCCCTTATTTCTACCTGGGACTTCATTCAGAACCTTTTAGGCTCTGTTTTGCCTCAGATGGTGAGCGAAAACCCACAGGTGGTCTTAACTCTGACATTTAGCTCAGACTCCATACTGCCTTGCTCCCATCCCAGGTTGTCCCCAAGGTTGTACAGCTGAGGACGACTCTGAATTTGTGCTCCTCCAGACAACACGTCATGGCTAGCATTATGGGTGTGAGTGCTGTACCCCACATTCTCTTTTATGTATTTATTTATCTTTTTTCAAGGCAAGTTCTTTCTGTGTCGCCCAGATTGGCCTGGAACTTGCTAGGCTGTCCGGGCCGATCCCTGTCAGCATGCCTATCTCAGCATCCTGTACCCTGGGTTACAGCCGTGGATCAACACACCAGGCAACAGGTGTATTTTTTTTTTAACTTCTATGCCTTACATCTGAAAGAAGTTTTGTGATTAAACCCCATGCCTAGCCAATGATGGACCATCGAGCCACACACACATCCATGTCATCCTAGAAACTGTCCTAGGGAGTCATCCGGGCTAGCCTTGACTAACTCTGCAGCCTCTCTGGCTCAGCACATCCAAGTGGCTCGAATCACAGCCCTGCATCACAGAGACATCACACCTCAGAAAGTGTTGGGAGTTTTAAGAATACATTTAGGGGCTGGAGAGATGGCTCAGTGGTTAAGAGCATTGCCTGCTCTTCTAAAAGTCCCAAGTTCAATTCCTAGCAACCACATGGTGGCTCACAACCATCTGTAATGAGGTCTGGTGCCCTCTTCTGGCCTGCAGGCATACATGCAGACAGAATCTTGTATACATAATAAATAAATATTTTAAAAAAGAAAATATTTATTTATTTTATATCTGAGAGGGTCTTATGCAGTCTAGGCTGGCCTTAAACTTGGTACAAAGCAGAGGCTGACCTTGGATTCCTGCTCAGTTACCCCCTGAGTCACAATTACCTAACCTTTCAAACTTGTACTTGAAGATACCTGTTTCCTTAGAATCTCAGAAACAACTGACATATTCATAAGGAACTGGATTAACAATTGTAGAATTCTAAAATGTTTAAAACTGTTCCCATGTTCATTTTAGTAATCAGATCATTAATGTTAGCCTCCATCTCTCCCTCCCTCGCCCTGGCTCCATTCTTCCCTCCTTCCCTCCTTTCCCCCTCGCCTCTTCCTTCTCCCCTCTTTCCGTCTCTGTCTTCCAGATCCAGCACTAGGGACTGGGTTCAGGGCCTTGAGCTTCTGTGAAGGTGTCCGCACTGAGCTCACAGCATCGGCCCTGTGTGATTTTGATGTTGTCTTGTCAGGGTGTCCAGGCTACCCTTGAATTTATTATTTTCACCCTTTACCCCCCTTCCCCAGCAGCTGGGATTACAGGCTAATGCCTCTGTGCCTCGATATGATTTTGTGCAGTTTTTAACCAATTTTTTAAAAATTTGTGTGTTTGTATATGTGACAGAGAGATAGAGACACACAGAGAGACAGGTAGACACAGGTAGGCAGACAGACAGACAGACTGACTATAGTTGCGGGTGTGGAGGTCAGGAGACACTTCTCTTCCTTCATCACACGTCATGGGATTGCATTTAGCACTGAGGTCATCAGGTCTGCAATGGGAAGCACTTTTACCCGGTGAGCCTTCTCAGGCCATGATTGGTTCTTGGTAGAGGAGAGAAACAAGGGAGAGGAGGAAAATGCTGGGTGAGTTTCAGATGTTGTCACCAGAGGGGAGACAAACTCTTGAAAAGATAGTTGTCCCTTGATAGTTGAACACTACAGGTTGAAATGTGACAAGGTTCCTGTGAATGCACTGTTTTTATCCATTAAATTTTAATAAAAAAAAATGAAAAAAAAAAAACCAACACTACCTGCTCTCCCAAAGGACCCAGGTTCAATTCCCAGGACCCATATGGTGTTTTACGACTGGCTGTAACTCCTGTTCCAGGGGAACCAACATCCTCATACTAACACACTTGCAGGCAAAACATTAATGTCCACAAAATAAATTAGATAAAAAGCAATAATTACAAATTAATCCCAGCACTCAGGGCAGAGGCCGGCAGATCTCTGAGTAGGAGGCCAGCCTAGTCTCCAAAGCGAGTTCCAGAACAGCCAGGCAAGACAAAGAAACCGTGTGAGTGAGTGAATGTGTGTGTGTATGTGTGTGTGTGTGTGTGTGTGTGTGTGTGTGTGTGGTACGAGTATGAAAATAAAATTTAGAGAAAACAGAACGATGAATCTCTCAGGTAATCTGTTGCCTGAACTGAAACCCATTCAGACTGGATCCTTCTGGGGATAACTGCTAGAAGTCTTGGTTGTAATTCGGGTTTGAGTCAGGTACCAAGGGTTTAAAAAACATATATTAGGCTACAAAGAAAATGAGGGAGAAATAGTCATATGACCTCCACCATCCTCTTAATCAAACTCAAACCAAGACACATGAGGTAAAACAGTGGTCAGCTGACTCAGCTGTGCCTGGTAAACAGGAAAGACATTTTAATTCTTTGGAGGCTGCCACGGGCTCTGCCAGGGATGTGCAGTGATGTGTACTTGGGATCCCAGGGCTCTGCCAGGGATGTGCAGTGATGTGTACTTGGGAACCCGTGATTCCAACAGCGCTGCCTTCAACATAAAGGACATCATGAATCAGCTGTCGTCCAGATGAGAATGACCAGGGCTCTTATCTTCCTCACGTCTTCACAAAATTAATACCCACAAACAACACACACAGTGGCTAGCTAGCTCCAGCTCCCTGTGGGTGTCTGAAAACACAGAGACAAGGTGTGGGTGATACGGACTGGGTGTGCATTTGTAAAGTAGCTTTAGCTGGGGACGTCTCAGGAGAAGAGCTCAGGCGAATGTATGGACCAGTGGGAGCATCAATGTCATCTCTACCTCATGCCCAATAGGGACCCAGTTGTCCCAAGTTTCCAGTGGTCTGTTAGACATGTCAGCACTGCTGATGGGCAGAGTGGAGCTCTGGACAGAGGATTCCCCTAGGAACCAGTGAAACATGCAAACCTCCACAGGTATCGTTGTATTAAGGTTAAAAATGACTTTTTTTAAACCTTACCAAGGAGACCCCTAGAGAGGAAATGGCGGTTTAGACTGAAGGAGGAAATTCACGCATACATGAATTAGGAATTTAGAAAGAAATGAAATTTGCCGAACTTGTAATGTGTTTCAATAACCACGTCTACCAGTTAGTTTAAACCATGATACAATGGCGTGAAGGATTTCTAAAGCAACAGTTTAGAGCTGGAGAAGACAGCGGACAGCGGGAGAGACATTCTACAGACCCTACTAGCCTACCCTGAGCCCAAGTCTTTGAAAGTAACACGGAATTAACTAGACCACTGCAGGTGAGTTAAGTCAAGTCACCAAATCAAATTATCAGGGTTGGCAAGCAGTACGGTGGACAGGCCTAGGATGTGACAGTCTCGATACTCTACAGAGTATCCCTTCCCACCCACTCGCAACCCCGCCCAGGACCCCGTGGCCCCGGGGCGCCTACTGGCCTGCAAGGGCTGGCTAGGGGCGTGGTAACAAGGGGCGTGGCCGGACCGCTCATTGAAAAGTGCAGCTGCCGGCCAGGCCCTGCAGCTCCTGCTTGCAGGCTGAGAGTTCCACTATGGGTCCTCATGTTACAGATACTGACGACCAGGCGAATGGACCGACGCCATACTCTTCCTCGCTGAAGCGGCTCAGCGCTCCACCTGTGTCCCCGCGGCTTCGCGTGCGGCCCTGGTGGTTCCCGGCGCACGAACTCAGGGATCCTCTCGTGTTCTACATGGAGGCCTGGGTAGCAGAAATGATCTTTGGTGAGCTCCTCATTACAGGGTGTGGGTTGGCTTCCCGTATTCTTGAGGGGCAGCAAGTCCTTACCCCATCCCCCAGTCCTATCTGACCATCAAGCCCAGCCGAGCCCGCCCCTTCCCACCTGAAGCCTTTCTACTTACTGCTTCAATCTCTTTACATGTTCAGGCCCCAGTCAAGTCTTAATCCCAGAAATAGAGTGGTTAAGCCAGGCTTTGCTGAGAGTGGACATTGTCGACCCTGGGAACGTAGCTGAAATCACCATCTATGGACGACCCTCTGTGAAGAGTCGAATGAGAAATATTATTTTGCACCTGGCAGCTTGCCATAAAGAAGAACATGTCCAAAGAGGTAAGGGTCTTTCTTTGAAGACCTACCCGGGGAGGAAGCCACGGGAAGAGTCCCAGCTGCTGGAACTTATTGTCTCTGGGGGTGCTTTCAGAGGGAGACCCTTGAAGTGCAGGGCATACACACACCCAAGCCTGTCACCCCCCAGCTCATCACCCCCCAGCTCAGCCTTAAGCGCCACTCTTTCCAGATTCCAGGTCCAGGATCCCTTCTCTTTAACACCATGCTAGAGGCTCCTGTTTCTAATCTAGGGAATTGGATACCATTTCCCCCCTTGACTGATAGTGTTGATTCTCTTTCAGCTACAAAGATGAAACAACTTGAGGAATTTTTGAAGACCCATTCCCCAAACTCAAGAGACCAGGCATGAGGCACTTGCTGACTGAGAGGCAGAGCAGCTTTCCGACCGTGGAAGTGAAGAGAAACAGTTCCTTAAAATCTCCCCATTTGTTTCCTTTCCTGCCTTTGTGGATGGATACCTGTTTGTTTTCATTTCTCCAAGTAGCAATTTGTAGAACTGTTCAAATATAGAAATGACTTTTTTGGCCTGTTATTTTTATCACACACAATAAAGCAAACTTAAATACACAATAAAGCAAACTTAAACATCAGCCATCAGTTGATGTGAGTTTTGGGTTGTGTCCCTGCTATTTCTAACACACGCTTCAGTCAGCCCTTGAGGCTGACACGGTTGGCTGAAGGTGGTTCTTTAGGTGTTTGAGGTAGGGGTGATGTGTTTTCCAGGCTGGTTCCTAACTCCTGTGCTCGGGCAGTTATTTCACCATATTTACCCCAGTAGGTGGGGACAAGGACATCATTGCAGAGTTAACTCTTCATGCTTGAACTCAAGATGTGTCTGTTTCTGCCTCCCAAGTTCTTGGATAAAGGCATCTTCCACCATGCCTGGCCACTCTTTTGTACTTTTTTTTTTTTTTTTTTTTTTTTTTGGCTTTTAGAGACAGGGTCTCTGCAGCTTTGGAGGCTGTCCTGGAACTAGCTCTTGTAGACCAGGCTGGCCTTGAACTCAGAGACCCGCCTGCCTCTGCCTCCTAAGGCATGCTAAAGGTGTGTGCCATCACCCAGCGATGGTGGTGGCGCATGCCTTTAATCCCAGCACTTGGGAGGCAGAGGCAGGCGGATCTCTATGAGTTCGAGACCAGCCTGGTCTACAAGAACTAGTTCCAGGATAGGCTCCAAAACCACAGAGAAACCCTGTCTCGAAAAACCAAAAAAAAAAGTCGGTTCCCCTGGTGGTGGAATAAGTTAGGTGTGAGCTGCCATGAGATTGTTGGGATTCTAACCCAGGTCCTCTCAGTGCTCTTAACCACTGAGCCATCTCTCTGACCCCAAACCCCATTAACACCAGTGTAACCCCTCTCCTACAGACAAGACATCTCTGTGTAACAGTCCTAGCTGTTCTGGAACTTGCTTTGTAAACCGGGCCAGCCCCAGAAAGACCCACCTGCCTCTACCTCCCTCCCCACTGCTGTGATTAAAAGCTCACACCACAACTGCTGGGCCCCTTTGTACTTTTCACCTGTTTTTTTTTTTTTTTTACCTGCTGACTCTCCTCCTTCCTCTCCTCCCCACCCCTCCTCCCTTCCCCCCTCCTCATCTATTCCAGCCCAGCTTGATTCTGTGGGTTTTGTCCTTAACCCCTCTGTCTTCTACAATCCTTCCCCTCTTCTGCAGGATTCCCTATTACCTAGCTCACTTAATGGCCCTTTTTAAACTCTGGGTAGTAACCACTTTGGGGATGGTGTATCAGATAACCTGCGTATCACATAGGTTCAGATCCATCACAGAAGCAAAACTTCACTCCACAGTGGTGGTACACGTCTTTAATTCCAGCACTTGGGAGGCAGAGACAGGTGGATTTGAGTTAGAGGCCAGAGTGGTCTACCAGCTGAGTTCCAGGACAGACCCAAAGCTACAGAAAAAGCATGTCTCAAAAAGGAAATGAAACGGGGGCTGGAGAGATGGCTTGGTGGTTAAGAGCATTGCCGGCTCTTCCAAAGGTCATGAGTTCAATTCCCAGCAACCACATGGTGGCTCACAACCATCTGTAATGAGGTTTGGTGCCCTCTTCTGGCCTGTAGACACACAGACAGAATATTATATACATAATAAATAAAAAAGGAAATGAAACAAAGAAAAAGTAGCAAAATTAATTATGAGGTAGCAACAAGATAATATAATGGTTGGAGGTCAGCACAACATGAACTGTATTAAAGGGTCACAGGATTAGGAAGGTTGAGAACCACTGATTTAAGATGTGCACAGATTTACCTTGGGAGTTCTCAAAACTGCCCTAGGCCGCTTCTCGGGATTCCCAAGCGCGGGCACAGGGGCTGCATCTCTAACAAGCTGTCTGTTAAAGCACGATTTAGGGCAATCACTTGTCACTGCCCTTTAACTTTGGAGACCAGCAGGTGTGTGGGGCTGGTGTGTGGGGCTCAGGGAGTTTTCCAAACACGAGGTGTACTGCCTACTTCGTCATCCATCACAATAAACCAGCTAAGGGACCTTAAGCAGGCTAAGGTCACAGGCCTCAGAGTTGGCTCTCCCTGTGTTTTCTAGATGTTTCTTCCATTGCAGCGTTCTCTTCTCCTGAGACATTCAGGAGGGAAACAGACTTTGCTTGTCTGGGGACACTGAAGACTCACCAACCTCTTCCCAGGGTTCGTGAAACTGAGCACCAGCTGGAAGAGGGAGGCTGGCTGGCTGAGATCCTTGGACCTGTCAAGCCATGCCTAGGAATAAGAGCTCCAGCTTGTAGCCCTCCTGACCCCGTGTCGGGGAGGCTGAGTGCTGCAGCTGCTCTTGGGTCACCACTGCTCCTGTAAGCCACCCTCACATACTCCTGTGACTCCAGTTAAAGTCACTGGGTCACCAGGCAGCACTCGTGTACAGCAATTAGTGGCTGTGGTCTGTTGTGGGTTCCCAGCCGGGGTAGGTTGACTGTGTCCCGTGTCACCCCAGGAATATTCTTTCACACAACAGGCTGATGTCTGTGATGTGGCAGCGGCGTTCATGGCCCGTGCTGCTTTCCTTTGCCACTGTGACAGTCAGTCTGCACTGCCACACCTACCCTTGCTCTCACCACTTTCAGGAAGTGGAATTCTTGGCACAGAAGTGCATGAGGCATGACTTGGGGACACAGGGCTGTAACCTGCACTGGGGAGGCAGAGGCAAGCAGATGCTTGTGAGTTCAGTCCCAGCCTGGTCTACATTGCAAGTTCCAGGCTAGCCAGAGCTACACAGTGAGACTTGGTCTTAAAACAATTGAAATAATAGTGCAGGAACTCTGGAATTAGACAAAGTTGTAGTTAGCTGGTTGTGGGGTCTTCTCTTTTTTTAAAAAATTATTTTTTATGGGGGCTGGAGAGATGGCTCAGTGGTTAAGAGCACTGTCTGCTCTTCCAGAAGTCCTGAGTTCAATTGCCAGCAACCACATGGTGGCTCACAGCCACCTATAATGAGACTTGGTGCCCCCTTTTGGCTTGCAGGCACACATGAAAGGAATGCTGTACACATAATAAATAGATAAATATAAAAAATTTTTTTATGGTTCATTTAACTTTTTATTATTTTATGTGCATTGGTGTGAGGGTGTCAGATCAGTTGTGAGCTGCCATGTGGGTGCTGGGAATTGAACCCAGGTCCTCTGGAAGAACAGTCAGTGCTCTTAACGACTGAGCTCTCTCTCCTGCCCCCATGTTCTAACTCTTTATAGATGATTTACACACACACACACACACACACACACACACACACACACACACACACCGAACATTGGCTTCTTTTATGTTTTCAACTTTATCCATTTCTTTCCTGGCTTTAAATGCTAGTGAGAGTATGAGCATGTACCCATGCTCCTTAGGACTGAGCCTGGTGAACGTAAAGACAGATTTCAGTAACCTGTGCAAATATATGTATAAACAGGATTCCATTATTAGCAGTGTCTTCATGCTCTTACCTCTCAAAATTTTAGCCTATGCATTTTTATTGTTGTTAAACCAATTTTAGGCTGCCTGTTTCTTCGTCCCTATCCCCCGTGCTAAGCATAGAAGCTCCTGCTGGGCAGTGGTGACACCTGCCTTTAATTCCCGCATTTGGGAGACAAAGGCAGGCAGATTTCCTTGAGTTCCTAGCCAACCTGATCTTCTACAAGAGCTAGTTCTAGGACAGCTAGACTATTACACACATAAACCCTGTCTCAAAAAAACAAAACAAAACAACAACAACAAAAAACTAAACAACAACCAAAAAGCATAGAAATACCTGCCTTGTCTCACAGAAACTTATCATCCTTTTTTCCGGAAGTGAATTCTATAAAAAATATTAAATATTTCATTTATTAAGCAGATTGCTGTAGCAAGCATTCTTTTTTTTAAAATATTTATTTATTTATTATGTATACACTATTCTGTCTACATGTCTGCCTGCAGGCCACAAGAGGGCACCAGACCCCACTACAGATAGTTGTGAGTCACCATGTGGTTGCTGGGAATTGAACTCAGGACCTTTGGAAGAGCAGGCAAAGCTCTTAACCTCTGGGCCATCTCTCCAGCCCTGTAGCAAGCATTCTTAAATCTACTTTTCCAGTAACTTCTGGACCTTCTGGTACTTCTACCATTAGTTTGCATTGATTTGCTTGTTCTTAAGTCTTAACTCAGGTCCACAAACTGTGAGTGAATTGTCAGATAAAGACTTGTTTGTGTGCCGGTGTTCTGCCTGCATCCTTGTGTGTCTGTGTATCACATGTGCCTGGAGAGGCTAGAAAAGGGCATTAGAACCCTTCTAACTTGAGTTATAAGCAGTTATTAGCCTCCATGTGGGTGTTGGGAATCAAAGCTGGGTCCTTTGGAAGAGCAACTGGTGTTCTCAGCCACAGAGCCATGTTTCCAGCCTGCAGGGCTTGGCATGATGGCTCAGCAGTTACCTCAACAGTTACAAACTCTTGCTGCTGCTCCAGAAGAGCAAGGTTTCAGTTTCAGAACCTATTTGTTGGCTCACAATGGTTTTCAGGTCTTTGGGATCTGATGCCCCCTTCTGGACAACAGAAGCAGATGCACATGGGACAAAACAGACACAAAAATAAGTCTCAAGAAAGCATTTTGTTTTCTCCATATAGGAAAACAAGTTTATTAAGAAGGCTATGAAGTCCAAAAATGAAACTCTTGATACAATTTTTTAGTTTGTTTGTTTTTGAGACAGTCTTTCTCTGTAGCTTTGGAGCGTGTCCTGGAAGTAGCTCTTGTCGACCAGGCTGCTCTTAAGAGATCTGCCTGCCTCTGCCTCCAAAATTCTGGGATTAAAGGCCTGCACCACTACCACCCAGCTGATACATTTTTTTAAACACTTAAAAGTTAGTTCAGCAAATAAATCAGTAATTTATCTGGCAAAGATTAAATGTACATTGCTT